TTCTCCTTTCAGCCAATTCACCTTGGCTTGTAGACTGACAGGGAGACAGTGAATCCTAATTCTGTTGCTTTTGCACTGAAGTTGAGAGGAATCCTGCTAATGGAGCAGCTGTGTAAGTGTGGCCCTGTGTTTGTACAGCCACCCTGTGAATCTCAGATGAGTGATCCCTATCAGACCCCAAATATCTGGCCTTTAGGAATTCATTTGGGCCAAGTACCTGAAACCATAAGCAGCCAGACTCAGGAGCAGAAGCAACTTGCATTTCTACTGTAAATTTGGAAAGAGCTGCCAGTTGGAAAGCTATTTTCTTTCCCACACTTCCATTTGTTCTTTCTGATGACCAGGATAACATCTGGAAAGAAAAGCAGTTTATCTTTTTCCTAAACAATATTCTTTCTTCCAGGACTTTCTGCCTGGTGCTGTTCTTACTGAAAGTAGTAACGTAATTTTCATTAAATTAAAAGGGATCAAGAGGAGGCTCCCATCCCCTACAGGAACGTAGAGCAAAGTGAAGCTTCTTATGCAAGCACTTAACCTCCCAATTCCAATTGCCACTTTGGATGCTGGAGCAGGTCCTTCCTCTTTAGGGAAGGGAACAGGCTCTTCATTTTTTACATGCACAAAGAGGGATGGCCACTTTCTTACCTGTTTGTTTTAATTAGTTTTAAGTGCCTATTCTGATCTCTTTCTTCAGTTTTATAATATTAAAGTTCTTAGTATGAAGCTCAATACCTCTTGAGAAGAAAGAGCTTTAATTCTCTCTCACAATAATAATAGTAATAAGAACAATACATTTTTATGAAGTCAGGGATTGGTTTTATCTAGTATTTCCAGCTGCCTAGCAGCCAAAGCATCTTTTTTGCAAACTACTGAGTTTGGGATTTTTAAAGCTCTAACTTTGCTGCATTCACCTTTGGTTTCACTAATGATTCACATGTTTTCCTTCAAAGTAGTAGGTTTGCCAGTTTAGTAAGTAGGACCATCATAGTTTCAGTTGTAATTTCCACTTCCTTGGGTCTTTAACTTAGGTTCCTCTGTTTTATGTGCATGCATCACTTTAGAAGCAGAGTTTAAGCTGTCCTGGTTTTGTAGGGGTAATTGTAACAGCTCTGACTTAGGAGATGCTAACGCAAAGTTTCAGTGTCTACAGCAGAATCACAATTACCTACCAAGGACAATAAGCTGTTATGAACTGAAAGCATCTACACCCTTGACACTGGTTTTGTGGTCTGTATCGAGTGCAAGATTGTGTCTCTGCTGTGACTAGTAAAGCGTTATCCCAGCATCCATAATTGTGTGCTGTCATGCAAAATCTGAACCACATGTTATTTTCCTATACTTTGATGTTTCAGAGGTGACATATATGTGTATATATACTTTGATACATAAAAACAGGATTTCATCTTGCTACTCAAAAAGATTTAATCTGTCCCATTTGGGTTTTTCCTCCCTGGGCTGGACACACTACATGGGTCCAAGCCTCAGGCATTGCAGTTATACAGCAGAAAGTGGGGCTGGTGCTGCGTGCAGCCCATACAGCGAGGTTTCTGCTCCTTATACGGTCAAAATTGTTTGTTCCCTCATTATGTTTGCATAAATGTTGTTGTGTTCTAAAACTCGTCCAAAGGATACTGTATCCCTAAATACAAGGCATTGGGACAAAGTCTGATTTCTATATGAAAGTTTTGGGAGTAGAAAAAAACATTGTGTGGAAAAGAAACTCAATTCAATTAAAAAAAAACAATCTGAGAGGAGAATTGTGGGAGATTTTAAAGTACAGCTTTCTTGATGGTATCCTAAATTTTAGTTTATCTGCAAAATTGCACTAAAGAAAAGCAAACTGTGTATTTATAACCAAAACCAGAGGCAAGCATAACCAAAAAAATATCACAAAATCAAAAAACCCAACAAAATCAGAGTTGTGCTGTTAAGGGAGATGGACAAAATTTCAGTTTTCCTGGAGGTAAAAGACAAGCCTGTCTCCTGAAATGTAGCTCATGCCAACGCTTGCAGCTCTTTGGGGAACTTCTTTAGTGGGAGGAAAGACATTGGATTCAAGTCTCCAACAGAGACAGAGTGACTCTTAAGGCTGGGAGAGCTCCCATGCCCACTAAGAGGATTTGGGAATATTCAGTTTCAGTGGGATGACTCTTTCAGGGATCAGATTGTTTGAGTTGTGAGTTTCACTTTCCAAATTTGGTTGTAGTAAATGCTTTTAAGTCAAATATTGCAGATTATTTGTCTTTAGAAACCAACCAGATTTACTAATTCCAAAACATGATATAGATAAGGAAGTTTAAGAGATGAGCAATAACCTTATAATTGCTGTTCACAGGCCACTTAAAACACTAAAGCCATTGCTTAGTTGTTAAATATAAACATCAGATTATAAACCAGATCCCATTAATTTGGTGATGACAGATGTTTTCCTTTATTGTGGATTTATATTTAAAAATTCTCAATTTACAACCAAATTATTAATCTAACATTAACATTCTGAAGATTATATTAAGAAGTTAAATGAACTTAAATCTAGTTGAGGTAGATTAAACTCCTTAATCTGCAGACAGCCCTTAGCAATAACTCTGGTCCTGTTGATCCCGGAGGGCTGTATTAGTTCTGACAGGTAAAGACTTTACTTTTGGTATGAGTACCACCGAAAATACCTAGTTAATAAACTGGTAACACAAAAGTGTACTCCTTAGGTTCAAAAGCCACTGCTGCTCTCTAGCCAGGTTCTAAAACCTTGGCATTTTCTTCTGCATCTCCATCTTTACTGGGTAAACTTTTACTTTACCTCTTGAAAATGTCTATAAATGTGAAGCATAGTGAAAAAGTGTGCACATTAAAAAGAAAAACAGGTCTCCTCCCCAATTCACTCAAGCATATGTTGCTGTGTTTTTCTTGTAAAAAGTATCGGTCATTTAACAAAACTTCAGCGGTGTGTTGGCTGTACACTGGCCAGAGTATTTGGCTGTACCATGAGGAGGAGTAGATAGGGCCCAGACTGTAAATTATTTTGAAAGAATCCTGCTGGGTTTTGTCTGCAGAGCTCATTTGCTTCTTCACAGTCTGCTGTTTGTGGTTAATTAATGTATTTGCAACTTCTGAGGATACCATTGCTGCAAGGATAACTTCTGTTCCTGTGCTTACACTATTCCTTTTCAGATAGCGTATGGTGCAAGCATGATCCAGCTCACTGGGGAGTAAACCTTGAGCTTCTCCAACCACGCGAATATCCTACTCCTGTAGCTGTCCAAGGGAGATAGTGGGACAGGGTGCCCCTACAGCTGAAATCTGAATATATTGAGAATGTATAGCAATATAGTGGGCTTGTGAGAAAACCTGTCTGTCCTTTCTGAGCGTCTAGGGAGAACTGTATAGAGCTCTGGGAGGGCTGTACTGCTGGAGCAAAGCCTCATTGCTCAGCCCAGAGTGGTCATTTTGGAAATAACAAGTCTTGTGCTTGCCCAAAATTTGACTTATACTGGCTCAACTAACTGAAGTTAAAACATAGCTGTATAAATACTGAAGCTTTTATACGTGGATGGGATTTTGATAGGGGTAGTAACAGAACTCTAACATAACTATGCTAAGGAGACTAAAGAAGTTTGACATGTCTTCCTTTGATCAAGACTGTGCTCGGAGGCAGGATCTGTCCCTCATTTGTTACTAAAGCTCCAGTAGAGCAAGATGAATACAGGGGAAAACATGACCGTCCATCCAGTTAGGCCATGGGAAGGAGGACTACCAGGGGTATGTAGGCAGACATGTTGATGGAGGGACTGGACAGAGATGGTCCAGCCTGGGGAGGGGACTTTGTCAAGGGAGCTAACTCCATAGCAGTGTCTTTTCTACCCGATAGAAATGTGAATTATTCTTCAGCCATCCTTGGTATTTCAAGTGTCATTTACAGATCTGAAGGGAGGTGACACTGCAGCTAGCCCCAGTGCAAGGTCACCTTGAATCTTATTTAAGCTATGTTTTCCACAGAAAATTTGATCTTTATAATATCAAATGCAATTTTAAAGAGAACAATTTAAAAAATAATAGTTCTTTTTCAATATTGTCTTTCTAGCTCTTTTTCTTGATTTTTTTCCCCCCAACTTTGTTCAAAGTTAGTAGAGTCATAGTTTTCCTCTCACATCGTAGTTTAATGGCTTGTACCCCTGTGCTTGGAAGACCTTTATACGAGCTTTAAGCTCTGGAGCTTCAGTCATGCACAGATTAAACAAATGGGAATGATAGAGTTTATCCTGTTCAGCCGTAAATCTTTAAATCTGACTTTAGAGAGCATGTGCTGCTCATGGTATAATGTGGAAGTGAAACAGTTCATAATGCTCAGAAAAGAATGACCAGGTTATTCCCACGGGCACAGGTTTTATTTTGTCCCTGTGGTCCTGTTACTGAAATGTGTGCACACACAACAGAAACTCACTTTCTCCTGCATCCAACACATCTTGTCCTTAAGTATGTGCACAGTGCTAGGCTCAGATGGAACAGCATTTTCATATGGAGCAGACTGGTATTTGGTGTAAAGATTCATTAAGTTTTTCAAGGGACAATTACATTTTTAGGAAGTGCTGGTTGTTAAAAAGGCACATCACACATTGATGCTGAGGTTCCTTGTTAAGTAGCTTTACTGTAGTCTAAATAAAGCAAAGAATCAGTTCAGATAGTGGCAAAGTATTATGCACTTTTAATTTTAATTAGAGATGGTAAAATGAAGGTGTTGCCAGTTTCAGGATACAGATAAACATCTGATCTGTTTTTAATTATTAAAGCATTTGTAAGAAATGTAACAAGTATTCATTAATTTAGTTCAGTATAATTAGCCAGTGTTGGGATAAAACTTCTGTTCCGGTGACTTCTGGAGCTGCATGTTGCATTCTGTATCACTTCATTAATATGGTATCCTACTGAGCATGGTTCCTATTTTGCTCCCACGGGTGAGATTTAGAGGTATGATGGAGCACTCTTTTGACTTCTCACAGGATGAACTGGATGAACTTCGGGCTGAAATGGAAGAAATGCGTGACAGCTATTTAGAGGAAGATGTTTACCAGCTGCAGGAGCTCCGGCGAGAGCTGGACCGGGCAAACAAGAATTGCCGCATTCTGCAATATCGTCTCAGGAAAGCAGAACAGAAAAGCTTGAAAGTTGCACAAACAGGCCATGTGGATGGAGAGCTCATTAGGAGCCTGGAACAAGATTTAAAGGTGGGTGAGAAATTCATATTCACAGCAACAGAGAGCAGACCAGGATTTGGCTCCCTGCAATGGAAGGGAGAGTGACATGTGAAACAGGCAGTAGTTCTCCAAACGTCAGGACCAATTTCCTTTTTTTGTGGTGGAGAGCAAATATGCAGCTCATCAGCACAAAAAGATGTGTTAGTGAGTAAAAAAACATGTGCTTAGATTCAAAATGAAAGAAGTGCAGTCAAGTTTCATTTGTGCATTTGAAAGATTCAAAGGGTTTTGTTTTGCTGGTTTTACTGAAAACCTTAGCTTTACAAAACTGTATGAACAAAACCTGATATGCTTTTTCCAATTCATGCAGTTTTCCTTCCTTTTCTCATCTTGCTTATGCCAAATAACTGAAAAAAAAACTAGTCAAAGTTTCATTTCTTAGTGCCTAATAAGTTACTCAAAACAGGAACAGACTTAAAATATTTTAGCAAGGCAGACAGAGATTCAAAATGCTATTCCCATAAAAAAACCCAAATTCCTGTAAAAATCATGTTCCTACTGAAGCAGTTTTTATATTTTTCAGAAATAGGCTTAGCTTTGTATAGGGATGATGCTTATCTAGCTTTACTTGTCTTTCTTAATATTGCTATCTTGTAGCTGTTTTAGAATATCCTCTGTAGAGAGGGACTGCATGCCAATGGAACTATTAAGCATTTTGTACTTTAAAATGCAAAGCATAAAACCTTCTGAAATTGGAATGATTGGTTCCCAGCAGTGGAAATGAGAGTGACTTATCAAGTCATCAAACTTTTCAAAATGTCAGACCTAATTTTCTCTTTTATGATATAAAACAAATTATAACCTTATCGTAATAGAAATGATACACTACTCAGTAAAAGTCTTGTACACAGATTTGAATGAAAGTGATACTGAGTTTTTTTAGTTCATTTGCTTTGGTTTTGCTGACTTCTTGTAATTCAGTAATTCATCATTTTGTGTGATGAATCACCTTTCCAAATATTTTTGGAGTAAATATTCGTTCTTGTTAGGCTGGACTCAGAAAACCTAAGCTAGCATATATTCCTGTGCTTTCATATTACTCTTGCCTATTTGTGATTGCTGCTAGAGCAGCAAATTTGGGTGGATGGGACTGCTGCATGGGTGTGGCTTTGACCGATGACCTGTCAACTTTACAGCACAATTCTTCATCTTTTGTTTTATTGACGTATGCTGGGATTTTGATGTGCGGGTTTGGTATCTACTTGTTTCCTCCTGCTGTTCATGACATTGCCTTAGCATAATGCGGAGAGGGAGCTGGAGACGGGTAATCAAATATGTTTTCATCTTGGATTTCTTTATTAGAACTGAATATTCATTTGGTACTTGGAAGGCCTGGAGTCTTTCATCAACAGTCTCATAACTGATTTAAAAATCTCTCAGCTGTCTAGGGTTGGAATATGCTTCCTACTGTAGGAGACATACTGTAGCTGTTGCTCGTCATGGATCCTCTTCATGCATTTTTGCTTTTCTGACCAGGTAGCCAAAGATGTTTCTGTCAGACTGCACCACGAGCTGGAGAGCGTGGAGGAGAAACGTGTTAAAGCAGAAGATGAAAATGAAATCCTTCGGCAGCAAATTATTGAGGTGGAAGTATCCAAGCAGACACTACAAAATGAGCTGGACAAGTTAAAAGAGGTAAGCAATAGTCAGGAAAGCCATGCAGAGTGGTGTTGCTGGGTTAGGTGGGAAATTTGACACACAAACACCTTAGACTAACTCTTACATGAAATACCTACTGATATTGCTTGTACAATTGCCCAAAAGATCTCTTCACCTTTGTTGTATGTCCCAAATGTGTGGGTAATTTAGGAAGAAGAGAGAGGAAGAGGAGTGATGCTGGGACTTTTGTCAGGGGCTTCTCACAGGGCTTCTGTTCCATTTTAAACTAGCTCCTCAAAGCCTCTCTTCCTACTGGAGTGAAACTATCTTTGATTTGATTCCAGCTAGCTCTGACTCTCCTTTACACAGACTGGGACTTCCACCTATCTGAGAGTCAAATGAGGTGTGCATGACTCATCTCTGAGAGGATACTTCAGATAAGCAAGCCGCCGCTTTGGCTAGTGCTCTTCAGCACTAGGTGGGACGGTGACGGTGGGAGCCACTAGCATGAGCTAGGC